ATATATATATATATATATATATATAACCAAGATATAAAACATCAAATCTACCTATACCAATCATGAATCAAATTGTTTATTATATATATATGCAACATATTCAAGCATGCAGACGAATCTATAAACTTATTCTATTTAACATATCCATCCAACAACAAAGGAATAAGTAAAGGGAAAAATTGTTTCCATTACATCATCAATAATTGAAGAGTAAGTTGAGTTCCTTTAGACCAACTATGAGATGACATGATCCATTGGTCAAAAGTCTTCACAAAGAAAACAAGTGTTGCTCAGCAAATAAAAATCTTGGCGATGAAGGTGACTCGTGCCAAATACTTGTGGAACAATTCCACTGCCTATCAACTTCTTCCTTGAATTGACCTCAACCCAATTTAACTAATTTCTCCCTCTAAAAATAATAAAATGTCATACGTTTAATATTTGACAAAAAAAAAAAGAACTTCTTCTAATCTCTTGTTAAAATTTGGTCGAATGATCAATCTATCATAATAAAAATACAAACTATCACTCCCAAAACAAACGAAACATAAGAACTATATAGAAAATAAAATATTGATAAAAATAGTATGGGAGAAAGAAAAATAATTCATCAAATCAGTTGGTCAAGTGGTAATACACTAATTTCACTTACCCGAAATTGAGGGTTCCATACATTATTCAATAAAATTTTAATACTTAAATATTGATGTGGTAATAATGTATTATATTCACTTATAAAAGATTGAGGTTCAAAATTTCATTCATCATTTTATCATCAATAAATTTTATGAGGATATTGGTTAGCTTAGTCGTTAAGGATCTAAAATATGGATAGTAATGACTTGAGATTAAATATCTCTTCCTCGTTGTGAAGAAAAGCTTAGTCTAAGTTTAACTTTTTGACTTGATATGAGGTGCGTCGGTATGTAGTGGTATTTGGTGGTCTTCCTTACATGTCGTGGAATCCAAAGAGAATTGGACCGGATCTAATCATCATCAACTAAACTAACACATTGGTGTGGACCCATGAGCATATTTATTTATCATGGAAGAAACCGCATGGTGTGGTGGTGTGGAAGTAAGACGAGGAAAAGATGGTAGCCTTGCGTTTCTTTCAAGTCCATGGAAGAGAGAAGCCGTGTCAATTTGGTCAACTCTTTTGGACATGGAATAGAGTAATAGTTTAGGGAAGGAAACGATTGTAGTGATTGATTTGGAATCTTCTTGGATTTTGCTCGGCGGCAAAGTTATTTGGCATTGGATGTGCCAAATCAATGGGAGTTGAATTGGAGGAGTGGATTAAAAATTTAGATTGGGTTTGAATGCCAATCTCTCGGTAACATGTCAAATCGCAATGGAAACTAGTTTTATTTGTGTGTTACATGCATCATATCCCATTCCAATCACCGGAGAAAAATTCTTTTCATTTGTTAGGGTCATGCATTTGGATTTCTATATGAATTTTATGGATTATGATTTACCCTTTTTACACACAACCAAATCACCTTCTTGAATAATGATAGAAACAAACCTACATTTAATTTCATATTTGTTTCGACTCAAACCCTATCCCAAAATAAAAGAATAATTTCTTAATATTATGAGAGAATATCGTTGATATCTTTATTAACATAACGTGACCCTGATCTATCTGTGTGAAGTTGTCCGGAATAAAGAGCAGCTTCTTCAGACTTGTTACTTGCACAAAAGTTGAGATAGAGAGGAGCTTTCCGAGTCAATCCCTCTGACGTTTAAGTTAGTATCGAGGTTGCCTTCTTTCTTTCTACTCTTCTCCTCCAAAGTTAAAGGTATTTTTATATTGATCTTGAGGAAAAAGAATATCTAATAAAAATTTTACAAATGAGATAGTTCATAATGAACTCAAACTATCCCCTAGATTAACGAGAATATTTCGCAGGAAAGATAGTTTGTAATCGATCTGAGATATCCCCTAGACTCTAAAAAATATTTCTGTGAATATTTTACAGGGGAGACAATTCAATAATAAACCCAAAATATTTCTTGAACTCCTATTCACGTAAGTAGAAGAGTATTAGGTTATCAGAGTCTTTTTCCTCTTATGAATCTTATGTGACGAACGGTGATATAGTATGATTATATATTCTCTATCACTTAATAATTTATTTATTTATTTAAATTTATATTATATTTAAAAAAATTCTATAATAAGATTATATTAATTTGATCATACGATATCTTTCTCTAGTATGGGCTTGAAAGAAAGAATGTGATATTGATTATAATTTATTGTATGTCGATTTTATTCAGGTAAATCTAATATCACAGAATATAAATATAAATATATATATTTTTTCAATTGACATCAAGATGTGGAAAAAGTGCAAATTCAACTGTGAATAATAAAGACCCCCCACGTTCTAGAGTGAGAGAAAACACAAGCTGTTCTTCAATGCTCGAAGGACACAAGATGCCAACCTTGGAAGAGAAAGCTAAGCTTAACAGATCTAGTAAGACTGCCACAAGAGAGAGAGAGAGAGAGAGAGAGAGAGAGAGAG